CTAAAACATACGAAAAATACAATTTATATTTCTTAAGTAATTTTATTGTTCATTTAAATTAACAAATTTTTGTACAAACGAGTTCCACCGATCATAAACAAACTCTACTTGCACTCGTATAAAAAAAATAATAATAACGGTTGAAGTTTAATCTCGTACGATTCGAGAAAGCGTGAGATTCATTGATTTGGCGGGTTAAGAATTCGCACGCCAAACAGTGCCAATTGGAGTGCCCCAGAGTTAGTCAAAGTGGAATATCGCGTCCTGGCATAGGCTTGCTGAGAAGGCCAAGGCCCATCCTGGGCTGTCGTGCCAATGAGAAGAATACCATTTGCTTTATAATAATTAAAAAAACACATTAGACATTGTTTTACATTTTAAAATATAATTTGCATATTTCACCTTAATGGTTTAGAAATGGGCCTTAGTGGCATTTTTTAAATGAAATATATTTTCCTTTTTTGTTTATCTTATGCATGAAACCAATAAAACTGAATAAAAAAGAAGTTTCATTCTTGAACTTCTTTTTATCACCTATATATAAAGAGTAACACTGGGAAATTTATCATGTGGCTTCTTTTTTTCTTTCCACTTTTTGTATTAAAAGTATCTAAATGATTCTGATTCTAAAATGTAATAAGAAAATATTTACTTTTCATAATTTAAAAAAAAATTATTAGTATTAAGAGATATTATTATTAAAAAAATATTATATTAAAAAAAGAATATATAATAGGTTAGATTTTAAACTTGTTTTTCTCATAATCAGTTTTAAACTCCTGTATCAGAATGAAATATAATAACTAATTCTGGAGAATTAAGCTTTTTAATCAAACATAAAATATTAGGGTTAGAATTTTTGCAACTCCTGCTCTCACCTTTATTGATCTCTTTATTCTTTCAATGTTCATTCTTTTAAGTTTTTTTTTTTTTTTTTTTTTTTTTTTTTTTTTTTTTTTTTTTTTTTTTTTTTTNTTTTTTTTTTTTTTTTTGCTTTGCTTTCTTTCTTTCGGTTTCTATTTTTTCAGATAAATCTTATCCTTCCAATCATTACCAGGTTGTTGTTCTTTCTTTTTTAATTTTATTGTTAAACTTTTTCTTTCGGAAATATAACTGTTAGGGGTTTAATTACTATTTTTGACATTCCCCCACTCGCTACATTGTCATTTGGTCGGAGTGCACTAAAGATGAAATACTGCGCCTGTCTTTTTATTCCAGTTTCATCTCTAAACAAAGGAACCAAAATCAAATATAGGCTAACACTTGAAAAGCATTTTTTAATCAATAATTAGATCTACTTTAGAGCCTCAATAAAAAAGATCTTATGCTACGCTTAGCATTGAGAAAATGCAATTCTTAAAAGTGAGGGGGCTAGGTGTGTATGTGCATAGATGTGTATATGTGGGATATGCATGCCAATCTGAAACTTATATTGTATTTTGTTAGGATCGACGAAACATAAAAGGATGGGACTTAGAAAAGAAAGTTTTATTTGTTGATTTTCAATATTAAAAGTTGAGAATCTTTTTTAATCTATTTTGCATAATTAAATATAATATAGTAGAGTTCAAGAATTTATTTTATAACCTAATATGCAACTCCTTAAATATATAGTCTCAAATGAAAAAAAGTATAAACTATCTCAATTACAAATTATTTATAATAAATTAGACTTCATAGATTAGAATTTCAGTAAAGAGCCCATGATAATCTCAGAAATATATTGGGACATTTAAAGACCATGTGAAAATCAATATCAATAACTGCCAAAAATACAATCAAAACACTACAAGGAATTACGACACTATTGGCATAAATTGAGCACAGCAAAAAGTGGTAATAAAAAATGTGCAGTTTAAGTTTTTCGTGTAGAAATATCAACTGAGAAATGACTAGAATTTTAAAAACCCTCAGAAAATCATCATGTTAAAAATAAATAATTAAATAAGTGATTTGAGTTTCACGTGTAATAAAATTGTATTAACAATAGCATCAGGTTTCTTTTAAAAAAATTTGAAAATTCATAGCAATAGCTGTCAAAAGAATGATTGAAACACCGCATGGATTAACGTGAATATCGACACGAACCGAGCATGACAAAGAGCGATCTCTTGAATCTGCGATACAAACTTTATATGTCATAAATATTTTTAAAAAATGCGAAAATATCAATGAATACTGAGCAATGAAAGACATCAGGACTTCAACAAAAAAAAGCAAGCAAAAATTCATAACAATCATTACTGAAAAAAAATTTCAAAATACTATGTATTTATTATGCAATTAGTTGTGATGACAAGTGAGTGATACAGTTAATACTCAAATGTGCAATTTAGAATTTTCATGTGCGTAACACATTTAAAATATTGGATTGATTTTATTTCAACCAAATAAAAAAAAAGAGGGGAAAATGTACCACTTTGATTAATTAATTTGCTATGAATCTGAATTTGTAACAAAATTCCCACTTAAAAATTTTATTAACCTTTCGCTTAAGGCTGGTATAACAAGTGGACCAGAATGACAGGCTTTATCATACTAAGTGTTAAAGTGCAAAATATGGTGTTCTTTAAAAAAAAAAATGAAAGAAAGAACATGATTTCCAGAGCGATCTATCTTTTAAACTTTCGCGATTATTGATTTTTTTTCTTTTTATTATCTGATTAAAATTCTAGCTGAAGACAATCATTAACATATTGCTTTCTCAAATGAGAGTAGAAAAATTACGAGCATTTCTTTTCTCTCCAACATGCGAGAAAGGTTTCTTTTGAAACTAATTCTGCCGAAGAAAAAAAAAATCTTCAGAAAATTTATGCAGAAAAGAAAACTAAAATTTTTTACTTCATTATTCCTTATTTTTCATTATTCTCAAATGAGAATAGAAAAAATCACGGAATTTTTTTTTCCCTCTGATCTACAAGAAAAGCATCGTTTGAATCTGGAAGAAAAAATATTTCAAAAATTTCTGCAGAAAAGAAAACCAAAATTTTTTACTTCCCAAAGGAAATATCATTTTGCAAGAACTCTGTAATGTTCTATGAACACGTCGCCGTGATCTCGCAACGGGGGAAAGACTCCAACTACACTTTCCCCGAAGAAATAAAGATAAGATTGAGTGACATTTGAAACTAAGAATTTTTCATTTGGTCAACATAGGGACATAAATTGCCTCCATGGGAGATGAGTAAGGGATTATCTTTTATTATTAAAGAGAATCTATAGCTAAGAATCTATTTACTTTTTAATAGCAACTTTAATTACATAAAAATATTTACTAAAAAATTCTAATCTTTGAATAGGCTTTGCTCCTCGTTTAAAGCTAAGCTAAGGCACCCCCTCCCCGGTTCCTGACACTTGGTGTTAGGAAGACTTGTGAATTAGCACCTTCACCAATATAATCTGTATGTTTTGGTGATGATGAGGCAGTTGCATGCAAGAAACAAAAAATCCCTAACAGAATAGAGCAAAACCCACAGGCAAAGATTTCCCTATCGATATCTATGCTAAAATAAAGGCCAATTTTTGACGATTTTAGAGGAACTATTCCATGAAGAACTAAAAATACACATCAGAGATGGGACCAACTAGAAAAACATATTTGTAGCCACACCAGGCAGGGAAGATTTTCATATAGGATGCTACAGCAAAATACTTGCTGAATTTTAGACGTTTCTAGGCAGCGATAAAAAGAAATATCACAGATGAGGACTAACTCAATGGGTATAACTCGAAGCCACAACTGGGAAAACCTTAACATGTTTTCTTTTAAAAATCTATTCCGCACTTTGGTGATCGTAGTTGGCTTGCCTGATCACAACACAAAATTATCCCCCTAGGGAAAACCACAATATATTCTGTTTAATGTATGCAAATTAAAGAACCCTTTGACGAAGGTATATGTGCAAACAGATATCGGTACTGAAATGGGGACCCCTTGAAATACCGCCCCCGGATAAAACTGGTAGACTGGGTCTTTGCACTTGATAATTTTTTTTGGTGCGAACATGTACCAGTATGGAAATATTTCCAACGAAAGTAAATGCTCACAGGCATTCTTGTCCCATCCCAGAAGAAATAAACAACACAGTTTTGAATTATTCAGTGCTTAAAATCATTTATAATTAATGGTATAATTTTTTGAATATTCAAAAGATACACGCATAATAAACAATGTGCGGAAATATACTTAAGAACCTATCATTAAAGTCAATTCTGTCTACTTAGTCAGATATGATTTTTTCTCATTTAATGAAGAAGCAATGAAAACACAATATGAAAATATTTTTATACACTACAAATTTAAAATTAATCTAACTTGTCGATCCAAAATGTCCAACATGTCTGTAAAGGAACAACAGGCAAATCATCACAATTTTCACTCATGGTAGTTGTATCAACTATATCGAAATTCGTTTGCATCTCCATAGTTTATTTACAGTTCCAGCTGATACTAGATGACAGCAGAAGAGATCACGACCTTATTACGCAATACTCTTACGAAATCAACTGCGGATATTGGTTAAAAATTTTCAAACTGCTAAGTCAGGGCTGAACCAGATCCGTAACTTAACAGTTACGGATTTCCAGGTCTGCATCTTTTTAGGAGCGCACTACTGTCTTGAATGCCCGCCGTTTTATAACCCTAAACTTTGGCAATCAGCTGAAATGGGTGATTGCCAAACTAATTCTATCGCCAAGAGCTTGGATGCCCGATTTTTTTTTGAGCGTGGTGAAAATGGCGAATACGTTTTATAGCTCAATAATGTAAACAATTGTTAAGAATATCTTTTCATGAACTAATAAAATAGGTAAATTCCTATCCTTCAAAATCTCGTTCACCAGCCCCAGTGTATCTTTATGTCTTACGTGGAAGCGATGAAATTGCACGTTATAACCATAATTTGTAGGAAAAGAAATACCTACAAGAATATCTGTTATTAAAGATTTGTGCTGATGCTGGGTAAGTATAAGTGTCACATTGCTTGGCAAAATACTCCTTAGTGTAACTATTTCACTAACTAGTCATTTGTTGTTGCTACCTCACTGCATAACTCCATAATTAGTATGTTGTGTTGTTGCTTATCCTCATAGATCTTTGGTCAGATCAACTCAATAAAGTTGTTGACAGGTATGTACCTATTTTAATCTCTTGCATTATAATTAATTAGGTATCTTTCTCATTAAATTATATTTATGTGGAGTAGGTAGAGTTTTTTTTTTTTATTATTCAAGCAATTTTTTGTGCTCCTATTTATTGGGGATATTATCATAACTACGGCAAGTACGCTAAAAAGCGGAAAAATCTCATCCCTGGTTAAGTTACATTCTTTAAACCAGGGTCCTGCATTTATGAATTTGTGCAAATAGGGTCCGGTTAATGCAAAAAACTTTTTCAAGGAGTTTTTAAATTGTAAATAGATATAGATACAAAATTATACTCAGCATTGCAAAATTATAATAAAAAAATTACATTTTAAAAAATAAACAGCAATTGCTGCTTTAAAATTAGAGATGCAACATACAAATATTTGGTATTTAGCCTATCCTGCAGAAAGCAGAATATTCATTTCGGGCGAAAAATTGAAGAAGCGTCTGCCGAAGACAAAACTTAATTCGTTTACAACCATCTTTCTTGTTTTTACCCCTGGGAAGGGTTTATTCGATTAACAAAACAATAATGAAGATGAACAAATTTGTGAAGGGTCCGATTAAAAGAAAAATCATTTCCTGAAGGGTCCGTTTTTATGTTAAAATATTTTGTGAAGGGTCCATTTTTATGAAAAGATATTTTGTGAAGGGTCCGTTAGCGGACCCAAATTTCTTCTAAACAGACCCCTGAATAGTATATAAAATTTTTAAAATTAAAATTTTTAATGTGAAGGTTGCTGCTGCTTTTCCTTCATTAATAAATTGAATTGGGGGATGGTTTTCGACAAAGCAACATGTATATCATGTTCAACATTCAATCGATTAGGATGTTATGTTTTTATATAACCAAAATATAACTCATGGACCCCTTAGGGGTTCATGAACCACAGGTTAAGAAACCCTGACCTAAATATACAAATCAATGACCAGCAATGAAAATACTTTAAAAATTCAGTGACAGTTTTAAAATGTAACAACATAGAAAAATGTAATTACTGTTCCATCACTTAAATGCTTTAAAATTAATGAAGAAAACATTTAATTTTTTTCTGTAAATCAATAATTAATAAGTGAATGAAGAAAAATATTTTACATAATAGTTTATTGAGAATTTAATCAACATTTTTTTAAAAAAATAGATTATATCTAAAATTTTGAAAAAATGCTAAGAATTTCCATAAAAAATATTTGTACTTTTTCATTGTAAAAACGTCTTTTAATCACTTATATTTTTATATTACCTTAAGTAATATATACCACATTTTGTAAGCAAACATATAAGATTTAAAACCAAAACTCTTGATTATAATATAAAATGCAATTTTCTGCGCTGGGGCAGTAATTGCAAAGTGGGACAGTAATAATAAACTGGAAAAAATTTGTTTTTTTTTATTTCAAAATATATTTTTTTCTTAACTATACCATTTGCTGGTATTGAGACCTGGACAATGACCCGTGAAGATGAAAATATGATAGATAGATTTGAGAGAAAAATACTGCGAAGCATTTTTGGTGGAATAAGTAAAAACGGTACCTGGTTTAGAAGATCAAACACGGAACTTTACAAAGCATATAAAGAACCTGATGCCCTTAAATTTATCAAAATTCAAAGGATTAAATGTCTGTCCAACCAGTCCACTGCGGGACGCGATATTCCACTATGACTAACTCTGGGGCACTTCTTCGCCAAACTGCGCGATAACTGCTTAATTGTTATGCGCGCATAGCGCATATGTACGAAAGAGTCTGTGGCAACCTTTCATTGTGAACAAGGAACCTCGTCTTTTTAAACTTGATTATCGTTTTTATTTTTACTATCGTATTTATTTTTATTTAATTTTCCCCTTCTATTTGAGCTTAGTGTTGATAAAAGATGCAAAGAATAATTGTTTGGTTGAATACCTGATACATGCAGAAAAGATGCAGGCAAATATTTGGTAACCAATTGCGACTCGTAAATTCTATTTCGGCCAAAATACTATACATCGATTATAGTTTAAACAGCTTTTTAAATTAAAGCATTCTATTTGCAAGTTTTCCAAAGGATATTAAGTATAATTACTACTTTATTATAAATGTTAAATTTTAAAAACATAAGAGAATATACCTCCTAGATACAACTTTTTACCATGCTATTTCTTTTTCCATTTCAGCGCATTTTTTCCCACAATATATAAAAATTTATCATAACATTCGGAAAAGGAAATCAGATGGTTATCAAATTCATAACTATATTTAAAATTTAATTAATTTAATATGCTTTTATATTTAAAAATTAATAAACACTTAAAATTTATTATGCATAAATACAACTGTAAGATTACCCACCACTAGATGGCGTTACGAGATATGCGCAAAACTTTAGAATTAATTAAAAAAGAATCTCTCTCGTTTTAGTGTGGTGTAGAAAGGATTAGAATGTGGTGGGAAGGAGAGAAGCGTTTTTTACGATGTCATTTACAATTATTTTTATATACTTAATTTTATGTTTGTGATGTAGCATAATTAGGACTTAAAATAAATTTGTTTTATGCCAAGAAAGGTTTAGTGTGAAAATTATTTCACATTATGAAAATTGGAAAAGAACCTGCAAGTTTTACTACAACCCATGGATTTTGTTGCTCAAAATACATCAATTGATATCGAAATGCATTTAAGTTCGACCAAATCTAATATATTTGGTTTTTGAGGCAAAAAAGCAGGATACAATATAATTTTTGCATTATTACTATTAATTCTAATTTACCATATCTTTTTCACTTCATAAATTTTAAAAAAATTGTAGTTTCTCAGAACATAATCAAAGACAAATGATTTCAAATGTGTTTTATAATTAAAAATTCAAGATAATCTAAATAAATGAAAAAAATTAAAAAAGCACTTTTAAAAGAAATGCATGTGCATGAAAGAAAAGAATTCTCATTTCATTTAAATTTTAGTACATAATCATTAAAATAAAATGTACTCATTGAATTGCAGCATATTTAGTATTTCTCTCAACATTTTGTGGTTGTCTAAATGCTACACCATATAATTAAGCAATATATTTTATTTGTGAATCAAGTTCTGTTTAAAAATTTTTACTCTTTAAACAAAATTAAACGTGATCGCACCCTAATTAGTGTATAATTACAATATTTTATGCTTCACATAAAGATTTAATAATTGTGACTGACCAAGTTTGAACATTGTAGGTTAATATATGGGGACCATACTGCCCAAAACAGAAAATAGCAGTTATTAAGCAAATTCATTTAGAAAGAAATGTTTAGTGACTGTTTACAGGATATTAACTTTCTACTGGAATGAAATGTTGATAACTTCATATTAAAACGGTGAGACTATACTAAGAATCGTTTAGTTTTCTTTTCGAGAACCATTGTTTCTTGCTGGTAAAAAAAGTTGGACGAAATGAAAATAAAAACTAGGCAAAATTTAAGACACTGAACGCAACCATAGCGAAATAATTCGTTATTTTTCTGCATTGAGTTTTAAATTAAATTAAAAATTATTACTAAATGTATTAGCTTATCCTTATTCACCATTACAGTAAATTGGATTGCATTTAACTCATTTTGAAGACATTTTTTACTTAGATTTTAATTTTTTTTTATTATTAATATGACTAAGTAAATATTTAAATAATTGGCATAGATAAAATTGTTCGTATTAATTCAGGTCTTATTTTTGAAATTTATGATTTATTTTTTTAATTGCAAAGGGGAAATCAAGAATAATTTTCAACAACTGATTGAAATATGGATATATTAACCGTAATTTTTTATAAAAGGTATGGTAATTGTTGTTTAGGTTTAGTGCTAAATTTCTTGATATTAATTATTTTTGTAGCAAATTTATAAAAAAAAATTTCAACATTTAGTTCTTAGCGGAAATATGGTTCTATAGATGAAATCATAAATGGTAGAAATGCTTATTTATCAATATAATGAAATTGCGTTGCGCCACGTAAATACTAACACATAGTTGTATAATTAATTACTGCTCCATTTTTACGTTACTTGAACTAAAATAGAAGATGCGTTATATGAAACAATTAACGTGAAACTAAAACATACGAAAAATACAATTTATATATCTTAAGTAATTTTATTGTTCATTTAAATTAACAAATATTTGTACATACGAGTTCCACCGATCATTACATAAACAAACACTACTTGCACTCGTATAAAAAAAATATATATAATAGCGGTTGAAGTTTAATCTCATACGATTCGAGAAAGCGTGAGACTCATTGATTTGGCGTGNTCAACCTTACCCGCAGCCAGTATGATGCTTGACTTCGGTGTTCTACTCGGAACTGTGTCTGTCCAACCAGTCCACTGCGGGACATCTTATGGTCGGTAAGTATCAACTTTGCATGCATGATGTTCCAATTCTCGAGAAGATAATTTTCATCATTGGAAAAGGTAAATAAAAGATCTTGCCTTTTTTTCTTTGGATGAGTGTTTTCTTTCCGATATCAGGGATTGTGCTATTTTCTTAGAGAATTTTTATAAATCACAAACACCTAAATCTTTCATAAGAAACTTTATTCGATTTTATAAATGAAGAAAGATATTTTAATTAATAACATTGAAATGCGAAGCACATAGACGAACAAAATGACAATTCAAAATAACTTTTTTCCTCTCACATCGTTGAGAAGCTGGCTGAAATCGTTCACGAGTAATACTGTTCTTTTAAGTTACTATTTATTCTCGGTTTACCGACACATGATATTAAGGATCGACTAGAAATTTGAGAGTGTCTGAATCTTCAAATCGGCTTCATATGATTTTCTAATTTAATAGTGGACGCCACTTCAGATCGATCCGCTTTACAAATCCAGAGATCGCTTGTCTATAATGACTTTTTTTACCTTTAAAAGTCGATATTTTTCATAAAAACATTTTGTTTTATAAAAGATGCAAGTTTTATACTTCAAGAGAGGAACATTTAGTTAATATGTTGATCGTAGCAAAATGAACATAGGATTTTTAAAATAGTTAAACAAAATAAATTCAAATTAAGGATGAAAGAAATAAAAATTCTAATGCAGTTTCTTTTTTCAGAATTTAAGTAAACTAACTCTAAAGTTGTATTTAACTGTATAGCATACGATTACTT